TATGAAAGTTTACTTAAAAATATTGATACTTATTCAGTAGATTTTAGAGATTACACAAATGATATTTGAAAATTTTCAGATGAAGAAAAGTATTTCTAATCTTAACATGAAAATTCCTTTTCACTCAGAGCAGTCAACACTGACTCGATATACTTATTTGAAAAATCTGATTTTTTTTGTCTACAAAAGATTTGTAATGTTCAGTAAAAGCTTATCAAATTTTGCAAAGCTACATTACATTATTTTATAGTTTTAGTATGTATATCTTCATGGTTTCATGATGGTTACAAGGTCATATAAAATACACGAGCCTGAGTTCATAGGGTTCAAATTAAGAAATTAACTCTTGGAGATGCCTGTTACACTAGATATGTGGTCATATTGATGGGAGAAGAAGTATACGTTGTGACTCGTGTAGCAAGGTTTTTTTTAAAAGCAATACCTTATAATTCAAATAACTCTCATTTGTACAGAATTTATAATAAAAATATCCTGATTTAAAAGATTCATGCTCTAAAATAATATGAAAACACACAAATGAATGATTAGAAAAATATACAAATTAGCATAAGTAAGAGGCATGATAACCTGAAATATCGGAAATTTCATAAATTATTCAATTAAAGACTCACATACATTAAATATGTATTGTTGATTTCGAACTAATTGGGAAACTTTGAAAGTTAATACTGTAAGAAATTAATAATGAAGTTGAAAATGTGCGCAAGAAAAACTGTTAAGACATTATTTGATCAAAAAAGCTTTCCATTTTACATAGAGTAAATATATGAAATTACCAAATACACTATTAAAGAACATTTATATTAATGATATATGAATATCATTAAAAAAGATATGCAAAATATTTTCTTGTAATTTTTGCCCTTAGTAACAGGTGACTCAAATTTGGCTTAGAAAAATTATTTAATGTAAAGTTTAAGTAAAGATCTAGGAAGTCAAGTTATTCTGAGGAAAACTGTAGATTTTACTCCTTTTTGGACTGTTTGGGTGTCACTTCTCCCAGTGGAAATACTTAACAAACTTACATGAAACAACAAATTTCCTAAATACAGAGGGTTGAGTACACTGCTTTAAAATGTTTTTTTAATAAGCAAATCTGCAATTAAGACTGTATAAGAACTACATTTTTACATTGCTTGACATTTATAAGGTAATGTGATGCCACAGAACATTGATCATTGTTGGAAACAATATGTAACAGCCCCTTCTGACTAAAATATTCAAAAACTCAGATTATAAAGACAGAAGTTGAATAACTTATATTAAAATCATTTTGAATAAAAAAATCTGCAAGTCATGATAACCACAACCAATATAAAGTTGGGGTGGAACAGCATGTATTAGAATTAAATTCTTACATTGTCTGGCACTTCATATGTAGTTCGATACCACACAACTTATAACTTTGGGGAAAGGTATGTAAAAGCCTTTTCCAACACAAAATATTCATAATTAAAATCATAAGAGGTATTCAGATTGGGGATTTAGAATTACCATGATGGAGATATTTTTTGCACATAATGGAAAGCAAAGGGATATGAATCAATATGTGAGCACAATGATAACCACCCATAGCAGGCAAAGTGTGGCATCTTATAACAGGTGAGAATTCATGAACAGAAAGGTCAGTGGTAAAAGCTATCCACACACCCCAGGCAACAGTATGCAGCATAATCAAGGAGGATCTCTGTGTAAAAAAGCAACATAAAGTCATGTGTATACAAATTTCTTCTGTGACATACCTGTTCAACTGTTACATACCTCAAGAAGCTGAGAATGAAATGGACACTCATGCTATTCCATAGAAAGACACATGATCAGGTCACAGGATGCAATGTCTGTGAATTTGTGTGTAACTAAACAGTTAAAATGGGTGCTGGGAAACCATCATCGTTTTAAACTAGATGTATTATTTAAAACCTGCAGAGAGGAGTGCTGTGCTTCAGTCATGAAAGCCTTACAAAAGAGCCTTTTGTAATGGAAAGTTGTTGCAGGGTTATTGTCAAGATGCACAGTCATGAGACAGAGCATGACTGTATATTGTAACAAGGACTGTAATAATGTGGTGAGGCTCCAAAATCGCTTTGATATAACATACTCAACCTTGTTTTAACATAATAGTAATTGAATGTGTGATTTCCACCAAATATAGAGGTACAATTTTATTCAATGGTCTTCAACACCCCCACAATAAAAACAGTTCAGCATCAATAGAAAACAATGAAGTTATGTATTTAATTCTCAATACAAGGTTGGTCAATCTGACTGAGTCACATGATCTTTTGTACTTGTTTAAAGTCTTTATAAATCTAATACTTATAACTCTCAATATATTGGGTATATCTTTACAAAATTTGGCAGTCTTTCAGTTAATATTACAAGTCTTTCACCTACAAAAAGTCATATTTCTTAGTGAAGTATTTTTAATAAAATAAAGATTTGTCCATGAATATATTGAGTATTTGTTTTGAATAGTCCATGTGCAAAGTAATTTTCGTGTTAAAATGTTTCGTCATCTAAAAAAATCTCAAATTTCCTTTGTGTAATCCCTAAAACCTCCTACATGTATTTCAAAGTTTTTTCAGTAAAACTTTATAGTTTATCTGTTATTTTCTCTACCCTATCTCAAAATGGGATCAGTCAATTTAACCGACCTTGTAACCACCAAAACAACTTCAAAAATCAAAATAAACCTAAATTACCCTTTTTTTCTTTCTAGAATGACTTAAAATTGTAACATGAAACTACATTCGTTTATCCTAAGTAGCTCTAAGTTTGTAACATACATCTATTTATAATTAAATCTTATTGTTTTATTGCCCTCTGAACCATGTTTAACTACTATCCGTGCCATTATAAGTTGTAAATCACTCAGAGAATGTGCAGCTCACATTATACTATTGAATTACATTACAAACGAGCTGCTCACGTGCATGCCTCATGAACCATTTTAATTATATTATTATTACCTATTTTACCTAATCTGGTCTTAAATAACTTAAAAATATCCATATTTTAGATTTTAGTTACTTTTATAATAATAAATAAAGAATAAATATGAAAAACAAGAAATAAAGTACTTACCCAATCTTTTTTTTTCTTGCCCTCGATTGTCAAGGACAGTTAAGCGTGATTTTTTATAGTAATTATAGT